GAGAATATTTAATATAATTCTATTTAGTTTTTTTTTAATACGAAGGAGTCTATATGTTTTTCAAAATCAATATTTTTGTTTTAATTATCTACAAAATCAAAAACGATCCATACTCGTAGAATTAGAAACAAGATCATTTTGACATTAAGATGACTTTGTATCAAACATAATATGAATTTTTCATTCTTCAAAATTTCTGTTTTTTTCTAATATCAAAGTCATAGAAAAAGTACATAACAAAAAAACATTTCTTAATATTCTATTGTCAATAATTACTATATGTAAATTTTCATCTCAAAAAATAAAATTTAAGATTAATAGAATATCATTAACCAAAAAAATATTAAAAGTATTTCTATTGATTACCTTCGTTATATAGACTAGATTTTTTCACCAAATTAATAATTCGAAAACGATATGTTATATTAGCAATCATATTTTGTACACGAAAATAGTACCATTGTGTATGTCGTCGAGTGTATAGATCAGGTCGAAGTGCAAGTTCATATTCAAATTGACCTCTAGATAAATTTATATATTATTTAATAATAATATAAATATTTAAAATTGTTTAATTTATACTTACACACGTTTAACTTGTCTTAAATTTCCACCTTCAAAACGTGATTCAAATATTAACGATGGACACATTTGTTCACTTTCATTTGCTTTAGGTTGTTGTTGTCTTGGTGATTTATCCATATCATAAACAAGAATTGGATGTTTAAAAGTATCGGTATATTTAAATACAACTGGTTGATTATCATATGTTTGTTGATAATTTTTACCTAAAAAATGATTATCGTGTGAATAATAATATTCTTTTAAACGATATTTTTTTTCATTTCGTGTAAAAGATAAAAATGATGGTGTTGGATGTTTTATAGGAAATGTCATGGGCCAAAATGGACCAGATTCATCAACACATATTCTTGTTGCACGAAAATAATAAACTGTTTTAACTGTACCATCATTTGATACGAATTGTTGTTGTTCATAAATACGACTACGTAACTGTAGATTTGAAAAAAGATTTTTACTTGAATTTATTAAATGTCCATGTGGCAAGATAATTTCTTGTTCATTATCATCATTATGCGTATCGAAACTACGATTGAATTCTGCAGCAGACCGAAGTTTTATCAAATTATTAGCTTTTGTTGAAAGTACCAATGAACTTGTTGGATTGTTTAGATTAAAGTCTTCTCGAGACCAAATTGATTGTCCAATACGCATGGTCCTGTTTTTTTTTCTTTGACAATTACTTTACCTTGTACATAGATGTAAAATCAATCATCTAGATTTTTTACATCTACTTAACAGAAAAATGAAACGCAAAGAAAAAGTGAGAAGAATAATAAAAAGCGAGCTTTTTGCAACCAATAGATCGTTACCGATTCAAAGACAAATACAGGAGAAAATTATTTGTTACATATAAAGACATTCTCAATTCCTTCGCTGTTCTTCTTTCTTCTCTTGTTATTTTTTTTTACTTACTTGGTAGTGATGAATTTGTGATTGTTAAATAAAATTCTTTAGGAGTCAATTCGCGGCTAAGGAATTTTGGTGTTGGATGAAGAATGCGAAAGTTATGGGGCCAGAATGGTCCATCTTCACCAATAATAATTCCATACTTATTAACATAAGGAGTTGTATTTTCACCGTTATTTGTTCGTTGATCAAGTAGATTTATGATATCAGCTTTATTTGATTTAAGAATACTATTTCCATATAGAAATAATGAATCCCGATTAATTGAAGTTAGTGGTACTCGTTTGCCACGAAGGTTTTGCACGTCAAATGATGAATCATCTAATAAATGTTCATCATTTCGATTTGATGAAAGTCGTCGACGTCGACAAAAACTAGTGTATGATTCTAAATTAAAATCATTGCTAGAAAATTTATTTCTTTGAGGATCAAATGTTGGAAGATGATTTTGTGTTCCATACGATTCTTTTGCGTTAAGTGGATGAAGAACACGTTGATTACGTCGTTCTATTTCACTCAATGGATCATTGTGATGAGCATTCGTTTCAATTTGGTGTGACGGAAGATGTTGACCAGCTCTATTAATCAATATAGATGGAAAATAAAAATGAAGGCTATCAATTCGAAATACTAGGAATATTGTCTATTGTTTTGACAAATATAATAATAAATTTCAATATTTATTGAGACACAAAGCACGAGAAAAGAAAATCAATTTTCTTTATAAGTTTTCTTTTTTTCTATTAAAGTACAATAGATTATCAAAGTCAATTAACACTTTCTTTTTCCTAGATTTTCATTTTCGTTTGAAAAAATATACGTATTTAAATTTGCTTATTTTTAACAACTTTCAAATTTTCTATTATTGAACTTAAAGATCTTTTTTATGATAGTAATTATTGTATTTTTCTAGACTATTGACTTAATCTATTGATTTCGTTAATCGTATTGAAAATGCAAGACTTCTATTTATAGAAATTTGCTTAATTTTAAATATAAAACAATAATGGAAGAAATGTTTGTCGTTATGCATTTTTTAAATAAACTTTATTAGTCTTATAAACTAGATTTAGGTATTTTATGTTTCATACCGAAGATATTGTCGACGTAATTTAGCTAAACGTTCTTGTCTCTCTGTTTCGTCAAGTACTTGTTGTACTTGTCGTTGAAGATCTTCTTCTAACTGTCGATGAATACTTGTACGCCATTGGTCATATGTATTTGTATCTAAATATAAGTTCAAAATAAAAATAAAGATAGGTTACTCTTGAAATTTACAGAATAAAAAAGGAAATTTCATTGAATGCTATTTCATTTCCTACCTTGTTTAATACTTAGAGGTCTATCAGTATTGATAGTACTATTTGAAGATGGGCGGATTTGAGGTAATTTAAGCACCGGAAGCTTCATTGAATCCGTCATTTTTTGAACAGCAGTCGTTACTCGTTTTAGTTTATTCCTTTCACGATGTCAAGATTTAAACAACATGCACAGTAAAAGATATTGTGTGTTTTGTGTAAATTTCTTTTCACTTTTTCTGCTGCTCACTTCGTCACTCAGTCGACACCACTTCACTTTGCAAGGATGCTGTTTTCTGTTTTATACAATTGTGCATGTGTACTGTTGGACAAAAAGCTCTTGGTTTTTTTCTTTACTTTCAAAAAAAAAAATAAATAAATTATGAAATGCTTGTGGCGATGTTCTGGGTCGATATAAAACATAAATAGTAGACATGCTAGGAATGCTGATATTTTTTTTCTTGATTAACAGAAAAAAGGTCAAATATATGTTGTATGAACAAGTGGTGATAATAAATTTAAGAATAGTTGACATTTCTTTTTTTTACAACTTTACTTGATTCTATATCAACAATAAGCATCATTCAATTCTACATATTAGAAATTTTACCTTTAAGATGTTTATAAAAATTTTGTTTTATTTGTTCGGATAGACACAATTCAGTACTATCATCTTTTTCTTGTATCGTTCCTTCTTCTAGTACCATTGTTTGCCATATGCTGCGAAACATTGTCATTTATTTTATTTTTTTTACACTTTCTGTCTTCTTGATAGACACCCGTAGTCAATGATTAGAAGCAGATAGGAAAAAAGAACTTCACCAATATTGTAAAAGAAAAAAAAATCTATGACTATATCCTCGCCATACCAATGAAAAGCGTTGCTCATACGAAATAAATAATTACATCATTATGGTTATCGTTTTGCTTACAATAGGCTTCTGCTCATATTCATTCATGAACTTATGCATCATATAGTATGCTATGTGAACAATAGATTGATTTTTTTGTGTTCTCGTCTTTTGTAATCAGTAAAATTTATATATCAATTGAAATTCAAGTTGAATTACAAGATGAATATTAGTAAGATGAGAGATTATTCAAAAATCTTACCTGTAAAGATATTGAATAATTGATCAGCAATGACTACCTTCCTATTATTAGAGCAAAAGTAAATTTTAAATTACCATAATTATGCTCTTATAGAAGAAAGATGGTCTATTGTTTAAGAATATTTGTCATTTTTTCTTATGAGCAAAAACTTTCAAAGATAAAGTTTCAATTACTTTTTGCGATTAATATTCTAAATAGTCAGCCTTCGCCTTTAGTTTTAAGTGTCGTTTTCGTCCTCATCCTCAATAGGTGGCTGACTTCAGTCTAATTGCTTTCGTTTGATAATAACATATCTAATGGACTTTATAGAAAGATTTCAATAATCTCTTCACAAAAGAAGGAAATCCCGAAATTTGCTGAAACTATGCATTCTAGTCAATAGCAAAAACAAACTAATGTCATCTATGGAGTTTTTATTGCACTACGCGCGTTTTTTATTTTCAAAATTACATTTTGTCAATATACTTTTTAGTTTTGGTAATCAAGTAATTTCTTGTTTGATTAACTTATTATCGTATTAAATAGAGTTCACGAAATTGATATTTAAGATCAAATTGTATTTATAAAAAGTATTCGAAGTTAATACTTAATTTTTAGTTAAGAAAACTTTATTCAATAAATAATGCGAGAATAAATAATAGTATAGTTGATATTCTAAATATCATTCATTAATATATCCATTTCAAAACGTGTCGAGTTTCGATCATAAAAATGACGTTTTATCAAACAGTATGAGCAATTTTTTTTAGGAGCTTATGACAACTATAACATTTTATGATATACTTTAAGTTTTATCTCTATTAAGAATAGTTACATCAACAAATCAATTATTCTCTTGTTGAATGCATTTGTATTTATATTAAACTTTTTAATGTCCTGTTGTTCTATTAAGAATTAACGATAAAAGTATTTGTAAGTCAATTAATGAACTTTTATTGCTAGAAAAATGTAGACTGAAAATAGATAAGATGCACGATAAAAGCAGCTACGTTATTAAAGAAAGAATTAAACTTTTAGTTTACTAAGATGCCATTAAAAAAATCAAAAAAAAAAAAAAAGAAATAGATAAAAGTGACCATTGCTCAATATAATATATTCTCATTTTTTTTGTTGAATACGTGACCGAATAAGTTCTTCGAGTTTTTTTGCATCAACTGCAAATTTTCGTATACCATCTGATAATTTATCATGAGCCATTTCATCTTCATTTAACATCCAACGAAATGTTTTTTCGTCAAGTTTTTCATACTTTTTGTTTTCTTGCATCTTTTTTTCAGTTTGTTCTTTATTTAAATAGACTTTTATTGGTTCATTATCTGATGTTTTTTGGGATGCTAATTCATCGAGTAATTTTGGACTTATGGTTAATAAATCACATCCAGCTAAACCAAGAATTTGTTTCGTATTACGAAATGATGCACCCATAACAACAGTTTTTATATTATTTTGTTTATAATAATTATAAATACGTGTAACACTGACCTAATTATGAACAACAAGAAAAGAAAAAACATAAAATAAAATATTTAAATAACTTACAACGCCGGGATCTTCATCAATTTCATATTCACGTTTGCCTTTTTTTTCAACATACCAATCATAAATTCGTCCAACAAATGGTGAAATAAGTGTTACATGTGCATCAGCACATGCTAATGCTTGAGCAAAAGAAAAAATTAATGTCATATTACAATGTATACCATATTTTTCCTCCAATTCTTTTGCTGCTTGTATACCTTCCCATGTTGATGATAATTTAATTAACACTCGATCTTTTGATATTCCACGTTTTTCATATAAATCAATAAAATGACGTGCTTTATTTATTTGCCCTTCAATATTAAATGAAAGACGTGCATCAACTTCAGTTGATACACGACCAGGTATTATTTTAAGAATTTCTTCACCAAATGCAACAAATACATTATCCATAACATTATCAATTATTACTTGTTCATCTAATTCCGATGTATCATTTTCTCGACATTTATCAATAATATCATTAATAATATGATCATATTGTTTCATATTAGCAGCAGCTAATATTAATGATGGATTTGTTGTTGCATCGGTTGGTTTATATTTTTCTAATGATTCAAAATCACCTGTATCAGCAACAATTGTTGTATATTGACGAAGTTGTTCAAGAACGTTAGCCATGAAATAGTTTTTGAATTAGAAGGAAAAATATCTTCAAAATTTGAAAAAAAAAACATGTATTTTTATGTGTATATTTTTAGACAGAACAAGACGATCTATTTTTTTGGCCTTCATTGAATCTTTGAACAATATAAACATATTATTGTTTTCGTTTCGCTTCATTAAGCCGATAATATACTTGAATACAAGGCAAAAAAAATATATATATATTAGTTTAAAGCTATTTACGATAATATAATATGCACTGAATTATAGAATGAAGGAAGGAAAAAATGATTTTTTTTACCCCGACTTTACTAAATGGTAAAAGTATCGGATAGGTTTAAGTATATAAAAAAAATGTGTCTGCGCAAATCTTTTCAGAGAATTTTAAAAAAAAAGTATTGCGCAAAAGAAAAAAGAAATTGTTGATAAGACTATTCATTACAGAACTGTCAATAAAAATCTCTATCAGCTTAACAGACTTTTAGTAAAGCATAGAATACAAAGAATGAATCTATATAGAGTAATAAAACTAGGCAATCTTGATGCATCAGATGTTTTATTTCACTTGACTCATTTAATTTTAACGTAATGACATATATACTCTTTCTCAATGATCACTTATCATAATGAAAAATAAAATTGCTTTTAATAACCTTTAAATGATATTTTCACATTTTAAAAAGCAAAATTTAAGCCTTCATTATTTTCTTATCCATACAAGATACTTTCCCACTGAAAAACAAAAAAGAAAAAGAAAAACCGAAAGCACAACTCGCATATACTAAAAAAGCTACAACGAGTGTGTGAGAAAAACAGAGACGAGTTTTGTTTTTTAGAGAAATAAAACAATTTAACACATAATAATAATCATAATCATAATAATAATAATAATAAATATAAAGATCGCGAGACAAATCAAAATATAAACAAAAAACAAAACTCAATGTACAAGTCAAATGTACACTAAGTTTATGAAAACGAGAAGATCATACATGCATCCAACAATACTAATAAAACATATATTTCTTTTGTTGATAGTTGCATGTCTTTATCACTTCTCATTGCACATAGAAAAAGAACAAAGAACAAAACACAAAAAGAAAAATTACAGAAAAATCAAAGTAAATTTTTTTTTTCAGGCGGCAAAAACATCAGCGATAACAACAACAGAAAACAACAAAAAAAAAAAAAAAGAAAAACTTTGTCAAAGTTAACAGAAACACAAAAAAACAAAAAAGAGTTTTTTGTTTTTATTTCAAATTCACCGACACAAGCATAACCAAAAAGCAAACATTGAGATTTAAACAGCAGTTTGTGGAACTGATGAATAATATCGAAATAAATCATGTCTATAGAATGATGGAATATGACCACGTTTTACAAAAACAAGTTTTGTATCTTCAACTTCACAATCAATTTGTATCATTGGTACATGATTAGCTGGTACATGAATTGATTCTATAAAATAATTAAATAGAAAAAAGAAAATTTAAATTAATAAAACATACTATTTAAATGTGTAATTGATGCTGGTAAAATTAAAGACATTTTTGGTCGTTGAGTTTGATTTGTTACCGTGGCAGGAAGGATGAGATGATCCTTAATAGAAAAAAAAAAAAGAAACGTAAAAACAATTAATTTTTATTTTATTTTTCATATTAAACAAAATTATTTACTCGTTTGAATGATACAAAATAAAGTGTATCATTTCTTCTATCAATTGCATGAATAAAATCTTCATAATTAGGTTCATATCCTTTATATGGTTGAAGTTGACCTTTAGTTGTCGATTGTGTTCTAGACAAAGAATTTTTTAAATGCAAAAAAAAATTTTTTTTTCTTCAAATCAATAACAAACTTCGATGATCGTCGATTAAGAAGTGCAACTTTTCTTGGTATATGTTGTTGATCATTAGAATCTGTCACAGTTGTCATATCAGGATTTGTTGAAATACTTATAGAATTCGAGTCAGGTATTGTAATCGATTTACTATTATCAGTATTTGCTTGTTTTCGATAATGATCTTGAACCCAAGAATGAAGTTCTTGATTGATTCTATGAATACAAAATAAAACCGGTCAACTATATATTTAACTAAAGTGTTTTTTTTTTGTTGTCTATACAAAAAAAAGCCGTCATCTAACTAGATCTAAAGCATTCTATAATTAAACAATCACAATTATAAGTTCTATTCAATAGCAAACAACAAACAGTCAAAACGTTCATGAAAGAGTGTAAGTCCATTGATCATCAAAGATTGTACTTCATTAGCTCTGATACTGACTAAATCAAAACTATATTATCAAGTAAGCAAATGCAAAAAATTCTAAATCATATTTAATTATTTTCGTAATAAGACGTTCATACTTTGATATGTATTGGATAGAGACAATCTCAAGTTTCTCAACTTTTCTCACCAAAAATACTTCTGTAAAGCAATAGCTAGTAGAAGAAAATTTTCCTCAATTTCATAGCTACATTCTCGTTAGTTTTTTTTTTCAAATAAGAAATCATTTCGATTTAGTTTCAATATAAATGATAATAGAAAATAAACTTATTTACCGCTGTGAATGTGTTTTATTAATATATGCCACACATTGTAAATAAGGATAGGTTGTAAAAAGTGTAGAATTATTATTATTCCCATTCCCACCTGAGTTATCATCATGTTCACTACTAGCTACATATGAATCATCATTACTACTACGACGAGCACTAAGAATTGTTCGACCACGAACAATTGTCCCTTCACCATTATAACCATTATATAAAGCAACAGAATTCGACTGATCATTTGAAATAGGTGAAAGCGATCTAAAACGATATAATAAAATATAAATGAATAATGATAAGTTTTTGTTTTTTATTTAAAAACTTACTTGAGTGTAAATATATTAAAAACAACCAAAAGAACAATACCCATAAGTATCAATGGTTTACGAGCACGTGGTGATGTAACTCCATTACCAATTTTATATGTTTTTAAAAGTTCATTCTATATATAAAAAAAAACAACATTGTTTTTTTATTTAAAATAATTTTTATTACAAACCTCCATTTCTAATGTATGAATACGTGTAAGTAATTTTGTATTTTCACTTTTTAATCGTTCATTTTCATCTGATAATTCTTTCACTTTAACTTCAAGATTTTCCATCAACTAGAATAATATTTAATCATTAAAAAAAAACTGTTAGTGCAATCTCTTCAGAATTCAAATATGAAACATGATATAACTGCTACTAATGATCATAAGGAGATTGTTTTATTCAATCTATTTTCGTACAAATTTCGTTACTATCGTTTGACTTAATCGTCTAGATATGCAATAATTAGTTTATCTATGACAACCAGACTTTATTGATGTACAGTCTGTCATCGTCTGTACAGGGTCAAGATCTAAATGTCTACCCGTATACTTCAACACTCTTTTTAAAGTTGTATTTCATAAAAATTTCATTCAAATAAAACACAAACCTGTTTTCGTCGTTTTCGTGAAAGTGATGCTGATTCACGATTTTTAATCATACGAAGATGTTTCTTCAATGCTTCTTCCTAGTTAAATAATATTAATTTAAAAAATCAAAAATAACAAATTATTAAAATACTTACGCTAGCATTTCCATATTGAACTTTAAGTTGATCAAGTGTTAATGTTGTTACTTCTGATGATTGCATTGGTAATTGTTGATGATTTGTTGAACTTTCTGAACGTCGTCGTTTAGCTGGTGGTGATGTCATTGAATTATTACCATTTATTGTTTTTAATACTGATGAATTATCAGTATTCGTATTAATATTATTTGGATAAACTGTGGCAATACGTTTAACATTTGTTGTTGTAACAGGTTCAGCTTCTAATGTAAAAAAGAAAAACCAAAAAAAAAAACTGTCATTGTATGATTATTCGAATCAAACCTGTTTTAACAATCGTAATTGGTGTTGCTGTTGTTGTTAATGGCATTTTAATCACAGGTACTTTTGCAACAGTAATAGGTTTTGATGTTGTAATTATCGTTATATTAGCTGGTGATGGTAGTGTTGGGGGTGTTGTATTGATTACTGGTTCAATTTTAACACATTTTCCTCCAGTTGATGCCGTAGCAGCATATGATTGAAGTTTAACACAATTAGTTATTTGTTGTTGTGAAAAATTAGTTTGATTTACTGATGATGTTGTTATAGGTTTCGGTAAAATTAATGGTCGTTGAGCTGATATTGTCGGTGTAGAAGGAATAAAATTAGATGATGGAGGAGGTGATGGATAAGGATTTGGTATTGATGAAGGTGAAAGTGATGGCTACGAATAAGAAATGAAAACAACAATCAATTAACTTCTATAATTAGTTTTCTAAAATTATTTTACTATTTGTTGTAATGTTTCTACATTTTGTTGTTCAGGTAATTCAAATGAAGCAAGAAAATCATCAAGTGTTGAGTTGTCTGAATCAGTTAAAGCCTCAGCAAGCAGTAATGAATTCTAAAATAGAAAAAAAAATGACAAATTTTATTTAATAGAAACAAAAATTTTTTCTTTTATTTTTCTTACTTGATCATTAATCAATGCATTGAAATCATAATTTTCACCATTTGGATCATCCGAAAGTGGACTATCCATATTCCAGGGCCAAATATCTATGAATAGAAATCAATGATCGAGCTATATGGATCCAAAGAATGTTATAGAAATTTATATACCAAAATTATTATTCAATTCAGCAGTCATTGGTGGTGTATCTGATATTCGACTGTCCGAATCATTTTCAGTTGTTGGCGATGTCTATTGAAGAAATGCAAAAAAAAATTTTCTTTTACAAAAGTATTTCTTCATACAGTATTATTTGAAATTGTATCAAATCCACCAAACAATGAATCATAATCAATATCATTTATTTGAATATCGACACTGCTCATCATTGATTTTACTTTAAATTTTTGACTATAATTATTTATTACATGACAAATATACTATATTTAAATAAATTAAAATAATATTTAATGTTATTTTTTCTTTCTTTTAAAAATTCTTACAAACAGATAGAAGAGTATTTCCCATAACAAAAACAATGCATTTAATAGCAAATCATCCTTTTTATTTCAAAGGTAATACACATACTATGTATGAATCTAAAAATTAGAATCTTAATTATTTTTATTCGAAAGTAAACTTAAACTTTTAGTATTGGAATGTAAATGGATTTAAACCAATCGAGGAGCGACAAACATCCACGTCAGTTTGCACTATTACCAACAATGATTCGTCGTTGGCAGTTAGGAAGGAAAAAAAATACAAACGACATTTTACGGGGCACAAAAGAGTGAACGTCATAGGCTGTGTTCTGTAAGCCTTCATTCAGACGTTTGAGAATAATGTCAAAAGAGGGCGCTCAAATATTTCGATGCTATTCCGCACTTAATTCAAAGAATGCAATGGAACGGATAAAAATGTTTCAATACACAAAAACTTTTGATAACGATAGGAGGAGCGATCTTTTGTATTAATGCGCATGCATTTCTCTAATCTTGTCTTTTGTACATTCGAATAACTGAAAGTTATCTAACATTTCTAACATAAGTGAACACAGGCAGTGATGTTGAGTGTTACATGTTCATAAAAAGTTTTCTAAAAGGAATAAGGCTCCGAACAGACTGAACACGATAAAACTGAATTAACCAATACAATTCGCGTTGCTATGGAAAAAGGCCAATCGTGTTTCTTAATTCACTTTGAATTAGGCCCCGAACAGACTGACTAATTCAAAGTGAATTAAGAAACACGATTGGCCTTTTTGCATAGCAACGCGAATTGTATTGGTTAATTCAGTTTTATCGTGTTCAGTCTGTTCGGGGCCTTAGTCAGTCTGTTCGGGGCCTAATAGTCGTTTTAATTCATATCATGTTTAATCACAATATGTTCTGATTGGTAAAGATAGTTTTATGACTAATCAATATAAATAAAACTCGAGACGAAGATTACGACGGTTGTATCTGATCGAATTATTTGGCTCTAGAAATATGACCGCGTGTTATCGTATTGTATATGATCATCTTGACCGATTGTACAACGTACTCGTTTATCTTCATATTTATTTACGTTTTCCTTGTCGAGAGAAGAGATGACTCACTTTTTATGAATATAAAAAATATTATTTCTTGTTGTAGATTTATATGTAGCCTAGGTTTCTTTTTATCAAAACTTACTATTACATCTTATTGCTGAGATTAGTCTCAGTAAAAAATATACATCATTTTGTTCCATAACATAAACCACTGAGTTCGATGTTGTGATAAATCTAAAGAGATAAAAAAAGTAAACTTTACTCATTTCAAAAAAGTACTTGCAATTAACTTCAGTGCCAACACTAATCGAAGTAAAAAACTATGATTTAATTTAGTCATTTGCATGTCTATCATTGGATTTGTGGATAGCATGAATCTATGTACAAAACATTTGATTGATTTTCCAAAGAAATCTTTACCATTGACACTGATGTTTGAATTGGGCTAAATAATAAAGAAAATATAATAAATTTTTTAAAGTTAATATTCACAATCGAATCTGTTATTACAACTAGGACAAATAGTTAATACTAGCTGAAGTACCCGGCGTTGCTCGGGATAGTTCAATCTTAATATATGCATGAAAAATACGCATTGGGCTCGACAACATGTAGAAAATCCTAACCAGTGGGGAGCCCCGTTGGGAAACCTGTTCGTAGACACTCTAACAAAATAAATGCCCTTTGATTGAAACAAAGTATAACAACAAATTTAATTAATATAGAACCTCATTTTCACAATCCCTATTGATCGAGTGAATTAGGACGGTAAATCGTACTTTATACTGATCGAATCACGCTGAATTCTGATTTGTTGCAAAGACGGACAGACAGACAGACAGACAGTTTTTTGTGCGACAGAGACCTTGTCCAGCAACGTAAGAAGTCTATTTCTTTGAGCTAATGATTGACGCACAGACTTTTGAACCTGACAAACTGTTTATTCGAAATCCTGACATTCAACGACCTCCCGAACACCAGTTTCCTCAAAACTCGATTTGTACTTGACATGGATCGCCCAGTAGGATCACGGCCGGTCTAATAGAGTTTTGAGATCAATAGACTTAAGATTCCTAATACCCTTTTTCCGACCTTCTAGTGAGGTTACTTTTCCCCAAAACTCGATTTCTAGTGATTCATTCTCAGAAAACTCAATTCCTGTTGATTTCCGGCTAACCCGAAGAATTTCGAAGAGAATGGACATTGGATTCGAACTCATCACGTGTAGAAACCGTTAGAGGCCTGCTTGCGCGAAAATCCAATTTAGATTAGCTGGTTTCTTAGCAGCTAAATTCCTATTGGTTCCAAGTCAATGAATAGGATTTCGAGGTGAATTGACCTTGGATTCGAACTCGCCGCCTCTGAAAACCCCTACCGGCTTGTTTTCGCGAAAACGCAATTTTCATTAGCTAACTTTGTTAGCGGCTGAATTCCTATTGGTTTTCAGCCAACCAATAGGATTTCAGGCAAATGGACCTCAAATTCGAACCCACCGTCCTCGGAAACCTATGGTGACTTGTCTTCTGTTTGATCACGGAGTGCTGTTTAGTAGTTCTCCTGTACTATCGAATGCTGCAATCTCATTGGTCAGATATATAGTCCGGCCTTTTGTGGGCAGAGGATCGATATTTTTTCGGTAAAAACTAGTCGTTGACCTTTCCCTGGGCCCGAGGGTGTGCCATACAAAGTTTGGTTGCTCTAGCTCTTGCAGGGACAAAATGCATAAAGAACAAATATACACACAAACAAACAAACAAATTTTCTTCTTTACATATTAGATAAAGATCATCTCTATAAATGAAGAGTTATCGCCCATTCTGTTATTGAGTTCAAATAGTAAAAGTCTTTATCATAAGGAACATTTCAACATATAAATAATGGAGAAACTTACTCAGATGTTAAAACCATTGTTACATTTTGTTTTAGTCATATGTAAACTTCAATGAAATATTGAAAAACTTGAGAAGGGTTCATTCCCATAGATATTAGTTCTCTAGAAAATCAAACTTTAGAAATAGAAAAATGTTATTAAACATCGGAATAAGTAGATTCGTCTTGAAAACTTGTTGATGCAAGAAGAAAATACTGATTTAAGCAGAAACGCTTAGAAAATCTTTTTAACTCTAAGAGCTACATACCGACAAAAAATTAAACGAATAATATTCCCCTTAGACTTTCTCGAAATACTTTGCAACAGTTTCAAAAATTAAGTAAAATAGTTAAGATTCGAGACGGAATGTCTGACGATGTTGGTTTTCATCAACACATTACTCACCTTCTGAATATGTGAAACTTTAATGCTCTGTTTGATCATCTAACACTTCAAACATTTAGATAAAACTTGAAATATCATGAAAATGATGATACACATACATAAAACAAGCAAGGTGTATTAACGAACAGAAAACCAAAAAAATACTGGTCAAATGAACTTATCAATGGTTTCTAGCTCACCATATCTTGCTAATAATAATCCAAAAGCAAGCACTGTCACAATAGCAAGTATTAGAATATTAATAACATTTGTCCTGTTTTGGTAGTCGAAATGTGCTGTTTCATCCAATTATTCATGTTTCGTATTCGAATATGATCCCGATGAAAAATTGGGGAACTAAATATCTATTATAGCAGTAGCTAGCACGATTGCAGATTGTTTCAAATAATTAGAATTCGGTTTCATTCTCACTTGTCAGTCATATGGATAATGAAGTAAAACTAGAGATAAATAATAAAAGATCATATGCAACATTAATATCTACCGACAAATAGACTGTATGAGTCATGTTTATCATTGTATTCTTATGGAGTCGAACGCTATAATAGGTTTATAACAGAGCTCCATATGGAATGGAATATGACGAAGACAACCGTCGCATGGTATGAGTCAGGGCGAGCCGTTTCATGTAGGACGGGATTATCCTAGAATATTTTCTCCCACCATGGATGGGATGCGACGCAAAATTTTCTGTCCCATTCAATCTCATGGGAACGATGGGACATGATTGTTCTATCGTATGGGTGGCCTTTGTTTATGCGTAGTTTTTTACATCGTTAAAATGAAAATATCATGAGAATGAGTGAAAAACAAATTTGATAAAATTACTTTAACATTTTTACTAATAACGTACTCTCTTAACAAGAATATTAGTTGAGAACAATCAATTTTGAATAATAGTGCAGGTATTAATCTTTAACGTACATCATCTATGTCTGTTCAACATTTTATATTTGAAAAACGAAGTTTTGCATGTATCTTAGTTAAGATAAATGATAAAACCTTGAATCTTTTATTGAAAGATCCACAATTCAATTCTCTAGAAAATTTTATTTATCTAAATTTAAAATAATACAATTGCACATTTTTAATGTTACACACAGTGTAAGTGTATGAATTGCATCTATTTTACATGCATTTTTTAGTTATGTTTTTTCTGATTTTTTCCACATTATAAACAGACATTTTGAATAAATATTTGCGACACGATAATATATCAATGCTCTTCAGAACTATATATAAGTGTGTGATTAAGTCTACGTATGCGTAATCAAAATAGTCTTTCTGAAGTGCTAATACAACAGCAGCGTTACCAGTTATATGTAAGTTCCTCTTTTTTGATGAATCATTTTATAGCATGCTTTTCAAGCCTCGAGTAGAAGAGAAACCTGTTTTCTAAAGAATACGGTAAAAATGAACTCGGTTTGGTTATAGATGATATCTCTAGGATTTTTTCTCTGAACAGGACTAATCAAGAGAGACAATTCTACAATCTTGAGAATATTGCCTTGTAGAAAATTCTGTCTAATCGAAAGAATAAATGTTAAATACTTATGCACAATTTACTGAGACTTTCAAGATCT